CTTTCTACTCATCTCCTATTACCATGAATGGTTCAGGGTCCACTAAAAAGAAATTCTACAAGTAGAAATCAGGACACAAGTTTTCCATGTTTTTGGCATTACCCAAAACCAATTAATTTTATTTCTTTATTTATTTGTTATAATTTATTATACATGACAGCAGAATGCATTTCAATTCATAGTACACAAATGGAGTACAATTTTTCATTTCTCTGGTTGTGCAAAAAGTAGAGTCACACCATTTGTGTCTTCATACACGTACCTAGGGTAATGATGTGCATCTTATTTCACCATCTTTCCTACCTACATGCTCCCTCTCTTGGTCTATCTCCTCTTTGCCCCATTCAAAGTTCTTCCATTCCTCCCCTGCTCCCCCCAGCCCATTATGGATCAGCATCCACTTATTAGAGAAAACATTTGGCCTTTGGTTTTTTTTAATATTGTCTTACTTCACTTAGCATGATATTCTCCAACTCCATTCATTAACCTGCAAATGCCATGATTTTATTATCTTTTAATGCTGAGTAATATTCCATTGTGTGTGTGTGTGTGTGTGTGTGTGTGTGTGTGTGTATATGCCACAGTTTCTATATCCATTTATCTATTGAAGGGAATCTATGCTGGTTCCACAACTGTGAATTGTGCTACTATAAACACTGATGTGGCTACATCACTGTAGTATACAGTTTTTAAGTCCTTTGGGTATAAACCAAAGAGTGAGACAGGTGGCTCAAATGGTAGATCCATTCCAAGTTTTCTAAGGAATCTCCATACTGCTTTCCAGATTGGTCACACCAATTTGCAGTTCCATCAGCAATGTAAAAGTGTGCCTTTTTCTGCACATCCTTGCCAACACTTAATAACATGTAATAACTGCCATTCTGACTGGAGTTAGATGAAATCTTAGAGTAGTTTTAACTTGAATTTACTTAGAGGATCCAAAAAATTTCACCAGAAAACTTCTAGAACTAATAAATGAATTCAGCAAAATAGCAGGATATAAAATCAACACCCTTAAATCAAATGCATTTCTGTGCATCAGTGACAAATCCTCTGAAAGGGAAATGAGGAAAACTACCCTATTTACAATAGCCTGAAAAAAAAATACTTGGGAATCAACTTAACAAAAGAAGTAAAAGATCTCTACAATGAAAACTACAGAATGCTAAAGAATGAAATTAAAGAAGACCTTATAAAATGGAAACATCTCCCTTGTTCTTGGATAGGCAGAATTAATATTGTCAAAACGACCATACGACCAAAAGCACTATGCAGATTTAATACAATTCCAACCAAAATCCCAATGACATTCCTCATAGAAATAGAAAAAGCAATCATGAAATGCATCTAGAAAAATAAGATACCCAGAATAGCCAAAGCAATCCTTAGCAAGAAGAGGGAAGCAGGTAGCATCACAATACCAGACCTTAAACTATACTTCAGAGCAATAGTAACAAAAGCAGCATGGTTTTTGGCACCAAAATAGACTTGTAGACCAATAATACAGAATAGAGGACACAGAGACAAATCCACATAAATAGAGTTATCTCATATTAGACAAAAGTACCAAAAACATACATTGGAGAAAAGATAGTCTCTTCAACAAATGGTGCTGGGAAAACTGGAAATCCATATGCAGCAAAATGAAATTAAGCCCCTATGTCTCATCATGCACAAAACTCAGCTCAAAGTGGATCAGGACCTAAGAATTAGACCAGAAACCCTGTGCTTGCTTAGTAGAAGAAAAAGTAGGGACAAATCTTCATCATGTAGGATTAGGCCCTGACTTCCTTAATGAGATTCCTAAAGCACAAGAAATAAAATCAAAAATGGGATGGATTCAAACTAAAATGTTTCTTATTAGCAAAAGAAACAATCAGTAAAATGAGGAGAAATACAGAGTTGGAGCAAATTTTTGCCACACACACCTCACATAGAGTGCTAATCTCCAGGATATATAAAAACTCAAAAAACTTAACACCAAAAAAACCAAATAACCCAATCAATAAATGGGCTAAGGAACTGAATAGACACTTCTCAAAAGAAGATATACAATCAACAAATATATGAAAAAAGGTTCACCATCTCTAGCAATTATAGAAATGCAAATCTATATTAATTTTCTATTGTCATGTTATACCCTTTTCCACATCCCACCAGTTCCACAAATTGACCTTTAAGCAGAGGCCCAAAGTGGTAGAATTCCAGCTGCCACCCCCCCCCACACACACACACATACACCTGCATTTCTCTCATAAAAAGGAGGTAGAAGAGAAGGAACAAAGTCTAACTTGAAATCCAAAGTCAAATAAGGATTTATCACTTCCAGTTCAAGTTCTGTCCTTCCTTTGAAAAGAAGAAAACCCAGGAATACTCTAGAACCAAAATTCCTTGCTCTAGTATCTCAGAAACGATAACCTGGTTTACTCACTTGCTTACATGCATTATTTACATGCCATATTACAATTTGTCTCTGTATCACATTAGACGCTAAGCTTCTTGAAGGCAAGAATTGTAACTTGTTCATACCCCTATGCTTAGAATAGCACAGTGTTTGATTTATACATACTAGAAATCCAATAAATATTTATTACATGAATAAGTGAAAAAAGTCAATTGGAAAATTGCATTGTGGTTTAATGGAAGAACAGGGAGAGGTGCAGAGAGATGGGAATGTGGATGATAAGAGTGGAAAAGAGCTCAAGAGGGTGAGAAGGAAATGGTAACCTGCAGATGTTGAAAGCCCAGCATGAGTATCTAAAACAAACATCTGTCCTGCATGCATCTTTAAGACTATGTCTATTTTTTTTATAACTGAAAAGTCCCATTCAGGTTTGCCTGGTGAGAAAACAAAATGACAAAGAAAGAACACCTAGAATACCATCATACTCAATATAAAGAAGATGCTTGTAAAAGGTCCAAACCAAACAAGCACATGAAAAGCAGAAACAAAAACCCCCAAACCCCATTCTATCTATATCTCCAAATGAACAACGGATGTACTTTGCTTATCTACACTTTCACAAGTGCACTCGGGGAAATTTCATCTAGAATCAGTATGTAGAAAACTCAGCCAAGAGAGGGATTTAATGATATTAAAATTTCTTGGAAACATGTGTTCATTCAGACTACAGGTGGGTTTGACTGGTGGGGGGATATTTGGAGAATAATCAGTGACCTGTGTAAAGCACCTGTGCATGTCAGAACAAAATATCGATCTGGAGACTTCTCATACCTCTCCACTGTCCACCATTCTCCTCATCCTTCCCCTTTCTCCCATTAAAATGCTTCTTAAAAATGTTTCCAGTCAGAGGCAAGAAGCACTCAGGTGCTTTTCCTTCCTCTTCCCCTTCTCTTTCTTCCTCAACCATTTATTGAACATCTAGTACATACCAGGCACTAGATGGTAGAAATGAAGCGAATGAGTAGAAATGAAATAAATGAGTCTCAGCATCTATCTTCAAACTCACCAATAACAATATTGAAAGATGCCCTGTGTTACAGAACAAGTGAGAAGCCACTGGAATTAAGGGAATACCTTGGGTGGAAGAAGAGTAGTAGGTACTTTCATGTTTGAGTTAAACATTTTTCTGGACCCTTAAGAAAATGATCACTCTGGTTTCCCTGACTGAAACATGTATACCATCAAGAATGCAACTAAGATTACCAATGATGGCATCAAGTTCCCAGGGGAAATTGGGGCATCCAGGTTCCTAGGGAAAAGACAGTAGATTTCCTAGTGTTTTTACACCTGCCAATTCTGTAAGACTTCCTCCTGATGATTACATAAGTTTTCTTTCATGCCAGTCAAGATAACATCATGCAGGTCCTGCTAGTCACACGATAACCAGTCACAGACAATCTCATTCAAAGCTGTTAGTATTTTCTTTATAACTTCTTCCAGTTCTGATATTATGAAGTCAGAAATGAGAAATGCAGCTTTCACAATCTCATAGAATTCCAGGGACCAGCTTTCTGGTGATTTTTCAAGTTTCCTCTTTCATTAAGGGAGAGACAGAATGATATCAGAGGTAAACAAAATTCAGGTATAATTCCTGTGTTTTTAGGTACATACCATCCACTCTGATATTTTCACCCAATGTCAAAATAAAGCATCAAGAGCTTTTTCCTGTTGTGTAGCTCTAGAAAACTTCAACTGGAATTTTAATCACTCAATTCTCTAATCTGGAGCAAGTGTCAAAAATCCTTTCCAAAAAGTAAACAGTTTACTCACTTTGTTTTCAGCATATGAGCTTACTTATTTTACTGAATAAAATAAATGATATTACTAAATGTTCTTGAAATAAAAATGACAGTTGTGTAAATTCTGTTAGGTTTCTGATAATTGGTTTTCACTTTTGAAGAATTACTCTATTTATTTATTGATTTGCTTAAGAGATATGTATTGAAGACACATTAGGTATAATCGACTGTAATTAGAAAAAATGACTGCATGTCTTCAAGGAATGTGCAAATAATAGAACAGTGACTTGTGCCTTAAAAACTATTGACAGAATAAAGTCATTGAATTAAAGAGTCTGATTTGATAACTTTCTACTTTTGGACATGACATATCAATAATGATCAGTATTGTTTATAAAAATGTTTTCTAATAAAAATATGTGAATCATATATTTAACTTAAAATATTCTACTAATACTAATACTAATACTAACATCTAAAAAATAAACTAATTTATTAAATTTCATTTAATAACTCAATGTGTCTCAAATATTATCTCCCAAATATATATTCAATATTAAAAATTAATATTTTACACTTTTATTATACTGCTTGTAATGCAATGTATTTCCCACTTATAACACATCTCAACTCATACTAGTGACATTTTGAGTATTCAGTCATCCATGTAGCTAGGGACTAACATATTAGACAGCTCAGTTTAAAGCAGATGAGTTGGTAAAATTTTTATATTTTATAACACAAATGGGAATGAAGAAAATATAGTGATCAGGATGATTCTTTATGAGAGTCAGAGATGTCTATATATTAAATGCTTAAATAATTTTGAGAATGACAACAAAAGTAAAGGAATTATATAAAAATTACTTTCAGGTTCACAAATAAGCAGAGATCTCTTTAAGAACCTCTCTGAAACTTATTTATGTGGGATAGCTTTTGTTAATTTACGTCAATGTGTTTTAAATTATCTTGTTTATGGGGTGGAGGAGTCTTAACATAATAAATTACCACAATTGTAAATGCAATGATTTCTGACCTTGCAGAGAGGAAATCCTATATGAGCTGCTGGACTTCAGGGTGGAGCCCTGTTGTTCTATAAAACAATCCAAGTAGACAAGGCTCAAGTCAGAGCCAAGGGAAAACAGTGACTACCTGAGTTGAACTTTATGTGTTTGGATACAGCATTCTAAGAATAGTGCCTACATTTGATAAAATCACAAACTACATTTATTGGGCCCCTAAGGTATCCAGTTTGCCTTGTTATTCCATGAGGTTATTGGGTCCATAAACCAAGTACACAAACTGGTATGGAAACAACTACCATAGTATTCCAGAAGCCGTCGATTCTACTTCTTCTCTGTTTTAGTCAGATTTTTCATTGCTTTGACTAAAAGAACCAACAAGAAGAATAATTTTTGAGGAGAAAAGTTTAATTGGGGGTTCACAATGTCAGAGGTCTCAGTTCATAGACAGCCAACTCCATTCCTAGGGGCTCCAAGTGAGGCAAAACAACATGGCGGAAAAGTGTGGTAGAAGGAAGCAGCTCTCACAACAATCAGAAAGCAGAGAGACTCTACTTGCCAGATACAAAACATGTACCCCAAGTCATACCTTCAGGGACCCACCTCCAGTTACCAATCAGTGAATCTCATCAGGGGATTAATTCACTGATTGGGTTAAGGCTCTCATAACCCAATCATTTCACCTCTATACTTTCTTAACATGTCTCACATATGAGCTTTTTGGGGGACACCCCTCATATCCAAATCATAATATTCTTCATCTTTGGTGTGTGTGGTGTGTGGCGGGGTTGGGGTGGAGAGAACTCAAGGCCAAGAATAAATCAAGTCCCCTACAGAAACTATCATATCACATCACCTTTTAATAAATGCCGAATTATTGGTAGAGGAGTAGAGAGAGGTGAGAAAAACACAACCTCTTCATCTCTGGGCTATGAATTTTTAAGCAATCAGGCCTATAATCAAAGATATCAGTAAAAACTGGAATGTATGACAGAGGGGTAGGACTCACGGACAGTGATTTATGTGGCCCATGTGAAAAGAGATTTCAATTAGCATTATTTGAGTTTTGAATTAGTAGTCCCATTTCACCCTTGGTCATTCTCATTCATATCTTAAAGTTTACCTAAGCCAGTATTTTTGGTGCTCAAAATGTTGTCATTATTAGTTTGCTAACATTATCTATAATTCATGCACTCAATATAAGAATTAATATTCAATTTAATTAAAACAAAATTTTAAAAGGGTCCAAAGAACATGTAGGTACCATTTCAAAGCACACCTAGGTATGATTTAATACACAGCCTAAGCTTCCATTTACCAACTGTACTCCCAGGGCTAGCTGGCTCACAGATTCAAGAAAAGCTGTTGGAGATCAGTGATTCTAATTTATTCTCATTTTCTAAGTCCCCCTCCATGACAACAGGATCTTGATACAACATTGACAAATTCTGATGTGTGCTGAATAGAGTAGAGTCTGAGATAATTGCCAGAATCGTCCAAATGATTCCCAGTGAGCCATAGTTGAATGCCAAAACCCAGAAGTCAGGTGTTAAATAGGCATAAGGCAAATGTCTTTATCTCATCTGTGCAGTGGCCTCCCAGGCTTCTAAAACACATTACTAGTGTTTAAATGGTTTCATTAACGATCTGAAAAAAAAAAAAACAAACTTTTTACAGCTTGCGGTATCTTTCCAAGTTCCATGTAGTATGCAATTTGCAAAGTAAGCCCAGCCTTACATCTACCCCCTCCTCTCACTAATTATTCATCAAGCTTATTTCCCAATCTGACTTCTCATTTCCATAACCTATTTTCCTCTTCACCTTTCTACCTCTCTGCTCTAGTTTTTAAATTTTTTCCCCTTTCTTATTCTCTAATGCAAAAGTACATCAGGTCCCTAGATAGCACATTTTATATATTCAGGTTAATATTATTAGACTAAAACATTCCTCGCTACCACCAGGATCCCTGAAGCAATCCTGAAATGGTAAACCATTTAAAGCAGAACTCCAGTCTACATGAAAGTCACGGATCCCTCAGCTGAAAGGGGTGCCTGTTTCATTGTATTTCCTATTCATATCATTCATATTAGAGGCTAGGGAATTGCTTGACTCTATTTATGGTGTCGGAGAGCATGTAACCAAAAAGGCAATCTTTTTCTTTACATTTATTGTTAATTAAATACTTGAGAAGGTAGCCTTCCTGGGCAGGGAATCATGTTCTCGGTTGTATGTCTCTAGCTTGATATTGGCAGTGGGATCACCCAAGTTCTCAAAGCCTCTGTTTCCTCATCTGTAGTATAGGAATAACAAAGAACCCCCATTAGCATCTCTTGGACAGTCAATGAGATAATACACAGCTCCTTGCACATGAGAAGCACTCAAGAAACTTGTCATGCTATTATTACCATCATTGTTATCATTAATAGCAGATTAGCATTATGAAGTCTTCATCAATTGGGAAAAAAGAAAAAAGTCCATGGAGTTAATTCAGTGTTCAAAATGCATGCCAAAAACCAAAATATATGCTGACAAGCGACAGAAGGCAGGTGCTGTGGCCAGAAACAGGGAGGAGAAAGTCTACTCTTGTGTTTGTTCCAAAGAAAACCCAAGATAATTCTTCAATTCTTTCCCCTTCTTTTGCCAGTTTAGCACACTGAATTTGATGAGTCTGTTTTAATCAATAGTGTCTCCATTTTATTCTCTTGATATTTATAAGTCAGACTGAATCATTATTAGATAAGAGGAAGGAATGGTGGAGGGGGATGGGAGGGGAAGGAAGGGTAATAGAGGGTAGATATAATTAAAGTATGTTATATGCATGTACGAATATGCCACAATGAAACCCATTATTCATATAATTAATAGGTAATAATAAAAAAGACTGAGTCATTCAATCTTTAGAGATCTTCAGAGTTTCTCTCCATCTAGATTTTGCTAATGGCATCTCTATGTTGTCATTAGAAGGTTCCCACATTTTCTATTGTTCCTGCTGTTAGATCTAAGGAATTATCAGATTCAGATTTGTTTTATACAGGACTACATGATAGATGGAATATTTTCCTACCATGAGACACGCTGTATCTATCTTTTAATTTTATAAGCTGTTATTGATGCTCAGGGTGTTGATCATTAGTGGGGATCGGTGAGGAAGGGAGAAGAAGAGAAGAGATAATATTTCAGCTTTATTATTCCTTCATTTTTCTTAGAACATTTCTGTTTGAAAAAAAAGAAACTTAGCCTTCTCTATAAATTAACTGTTCAATGATACAATATTGGAAAGGCAAGGTAAATGCTTAACCTGACCCTTCTCCCTATTTTTTACCATTTTTAAAAATAATATTAAGACTCTCACATTGGTAGAACCAGAGCATTTTGTTAGTGAGAGTTTGTTTGGGGGCTATTCTATATGTGTGATGGTCTGGTTCAATTATCCCTGTGTCCTCAAAGTGAGGATTGTCATCCTTAGAAGAGGAAGAAGTGGATTTAGGTATTAGATAGAAGGGGCTAAGTAAAACGCTAGCCTTGATTTTAAATTGGAAGATACAGTAGGGATTTTTATTGAATTTACCTTTAAAAATAATGCCTAGTTTAGTCTAATAAAAAGGGGTCAAAATCATTACTAACCAAAGAACAATAACCCTTTTCCACCCAGAGTTTCATTCAAAAATACCATCTCACTAAAACAAAACAAAATGTCTGGGACAGAGAGTATACAAGAAGATTTTGAAATATTTTATCATATTACTTATCAAGGAAGTTGTCCAACACTGCTAAGGTCATGGTGAAAAGATTCAAACAACAACCTTTAAAGCTCCACTGGCAAAAGCTGAAACAGTTCCAATTGTACTGGAAAAACAAAACAAAACATTCTATCGCTGCTTGAGCAATGTTCTACACAACAAAAACTATATCAATTTTATTAGTCATCATTTCAAAATTCTTTATACTTGATGGTTTTTAATCTGATTATCTTTTTCAATTACTGGGTATTACATATATATTATAATAAAAAAAACTTTAGCAGAAAAAATTGATCATCAATAAAAATGCAAGCTGCAATGAGTAATTTTTTTTTTTCACTGTTAAATCTCCAGTGCCCAGAACAGGGCTCTGCACAGAGTAAACATTTAAATATTAATTGAATCAACAAATGGATTTAATTACCATTCATATACTTACTACTTCCAAATCTGGCCCCAAACTTAAGAGTACTCACTGAACTCCTTATCTATATATTCAACTTCCTACAATATACCTTCATGCAGATAGTCTGTAGAAATCTGTAACCAAACCAAAATTAATTATGTCATCCTTTTCAGTCATTTGTACCACTATCCACTACCCAAACAAGAAACGTGGCCATGCTTGACCCTTCCTTCTCCCTAACTCCCATATTCAATTCAACAGTGTATCTTGTTGACTTGACTTCAAAAAACTGTTTTCCAAACTGTCCTTTTTTCTTTATCCACATCCCAATTTAGTTATGGTTATCTTTTTCCTACAGGCTTATCATGTTCCACTAAGACTTATCCATTTTTCATATACCCACACCCCAGCTAACATAAATATTATAACAAAAATGCACATCTGCCTGTGTTACTTGTCTACTTAAGAGTCATCAGTAGCTTTATGTCAGTTAAGATAAGGTAGGCTAAGGCTTCTATTACAAAGCCAAACTCTCAATAATTTAAGATAAAGTTTATCTTTCACTCATGCCTAGATCAGGTATTCTCACACATAGCTGTCCTAATCATCAATCCAGACTGGGTCAGTTTCATAGTTCTGGGCCTGGGGTAGCTCAATGGTAGCATACTTGCTTAGCATGTGCAAGGCCCTGGGTTGCATATCCCTAGTACCACACACACACACAAAAAAAAGCAAAAAATTATTGAGTCAGTTTTATAGTTCTGACATAACAGGGTTTCCATGTTCAATGCTGGGAGAAAGAGAAGGGTACAAAATCTTTTCAAATATTCCTTACTTCAGTATATGCATTAGTTTCCTACTGCTGCTGTAACAAATTAACATGATGATAAAGCTTAGAGCAACTGAAATCAGTTTTATTGGAGCTTTGGAAATCAGATGTCTCAAATGGATCTCATTGGGCTAAAAGTTCAGGTGTAAGTTGGTTCCTTCTGGGGTCTTCAGGAGATGATCTACTTTTTTTTTTTTTCTAACATCTAAAGGCTACATATATTTCTTCAGTCAGGGCCCATCTTCTATCACCAAAACCAGGATTATAGCATCTTTAAATATCTCTCCTTCTCTCTCTCCCTCTTTCTTTCTCTTCTTTCCCCTGTCATTAGGTCATCATAGCTCTTTCTTATAAAGACCCTCACAATTACATCAGGCCCATTGGATAATCCAGGATAGCATCCCTTGTCAAGGTCCTTAATCACATCTGTAAAGCTACTTTATCCATGTGAGGTCCCATACTCAAAGATTCTTTGGTTAGAACATGTATATATTTGGGGTGAGGGACCTGAACCTTAATTATAGTCCATATTTGTACTTGCAATCTAGTTTCCAAAAATAGTGACAAACCCTCTCCCAGTTGCAAGAGTTCTAGGGAGCATACTCTTACTTGTGCCCAGGAAGGAGAGGAGAGAGAGACAGACACTGGTGAACATGAGTAATACCTACTCCAGGGTCCTACTGCTCTTAAAATGAAATCTGAACACTTAAGTTGGCGGTCTAAGCCCTTCAGGATCTGCCCTACCACTACCCATGCTCCATTTGACCTAAACTACATACAATTCCCCAAATGCATTACCTGTTCTCTATCACCCCAGGGGTTTCATTCCCCTATTTAGCCAACCTTTCTTTTCATTTCTTCTCTTTTAAGATACTATGCTCTAACTAACTTGGGCTATTTAGGCTGCAATGAATTGAAGGCCTTTCTTCACACCTAGACTCATCTTCTTGTGTTGATTCCACATGCTGTGATGTGGTTAGGTTCCTGGGCATGTCACTTAACACTGTTGGCATCAAAGGCCTCTCACCATTCACTTACTTTTGTGGCCTGGGGCAAGTTAATGAACATCTACGAGAATCCATCTCCTTATTTGTAAAGGGGGATCACAACAAACCAAATTTATAGAATTTTGTGAGTATTAAGTGAATAAAATGTAAATGAAGCATTAGCACATGGTTTGTCACTAAGAAATGCCTCCTAAATTCACTGGTTATTATTAGAAGGGATTTCTTTTTTTTTTTCCTTCTGTACTCTATACCTTTTTGATATCTTTCTTATCTTTTAATGTTTGGTTCATAAATCTATGCTATGGATTAAATGTATCTTCCTAAATGTGTTGGAAACTTAGTCTCCAAATTCAAATGTTAATAGATTTAGATGTGATAACAGTGGGAACTGGGATTAGATGAGGTCATGAGGGTAGGGCCCCATGATAGCGATAAGAAGAGGAGGAGTGCCCCCACCTGGTACCCTTGCTCTGTCTCACTATTTGATACTCTTTGCCAAGTTAGGATACAATAAGATGACCCTCACTAAATGCCAGGCAGATGCTGGCTCGATGCTCTTGGATTTCAGCCTTCAAAACTGTAAGAAAGAAATTTCTTTCTTTTATAAATTACCCAGGTAATTACACTTATAGCAACAAAAGCAAACTAAGACTCACCATCTTGGTACACATATATTTCTCGAATTGATACTCTCTCCTGCATATGCACGCACATGTCAGTATTTTCAATGTCATCCAAATAAGTATGGCAACCAAGAAGAGTCTAAGGAGAAGTAAAGCAAGCACGGGAAGGGGGTAACATCAAAGACTCAAGGGACTATTTAAGATTTTTGATTGGCTAGCACCCATCCATTAGGAATAGCTAGGGTAGCCACAGATGCAAGGAAATCTATTCCAAGATGCCTGAAGAAAAAAGTCATAGAGATTGGGATTTTTGCAAGCATTTGTGGGTATAAAAATTACACCACAGTTTTGTCAAGAGCCAGATTCTGATTCAATGAGACTGAGAAGAGATCTGAAATTCTGCATTTCCAACAAGTTCCCTGGGAAAATTCATGCTGCAGATCTTCCAGTCCCACTAGAATGTCTGGGATCTAGAAGGGAGGGTGGGGTTGCCTTCTAATAAACTCAGAAAAAAAAAAATTAAAACCTGAGAGTCAACCAGACAAAGTGAACAAACTAAAGAATCACACCTGCAAGAAAGGAGCGTGGGCCAGGAGACAAAATCAAGGTCAGACACATTACACAATCATTTCAGCCATAACACAGCTGGAATTCGAGCCCAGGAAACAAAGCCTAGATAACTGAGTAGAGAAATATACTGGCCATGGCAAAACCAGCTATCCACAGATCCTTCCTTCTTGTAGAGAAGCAATAGAGTATGGAAGGGAGAGCTCTTGACTTAAATATAAATTCCAATGAGATAGAGCCCAGACTCTTGCACTTAACTATTCATATAATGTCTTTGAGAACCCAGTTCCTCACCCAAGAGAGGGAGAATAATACCTTCTCAAAAGATTTGTGCCAAGATTAAATAACACATTTCTTTCACTTGGCAACTGGGTACCTACATGATCTATAAATTCCTAGACTCAGATTATTCATCTATGATAAACATAAAGGTGACCATAGGGCCCTATTTAAAAATAATAATAATAATAACTCATGTCCATAACAAAACTCACAAGTCTTGCCTAAATTGCTGAGAAGAAAACTTTTCTCAGCTGAAGCATTATTCTGCATCGGAGGATAGTAGCCTAAAACAAGGGGTTGCAAAGCCCAGGGATGTAAGTAACCTTAATGAATTTCATGAATTAGTCAAGAATTGGAGATCCTTCGAGGATGCCTGACCTTTCACAAGACAGTCACCAAGGGAGAAAGTGGGTCTGGCTTCAACATAAAGAAGGATATTTAAAACTTGAAAACCTCTTAATTTTTAAATGTTGGCAATAACTCAAGTATTTAAACACTTGTTTGGGCTATACAAAACTTACTTGCAGGCTCAATTCCTGCCCTGAGCTAAAAATCCTCACCCCCTGCCTTCCACCTTTGCCTTAATCCTTCGAGGAATTCATGTCTTGTAAAAAAGAGGATAAAGCTGTCCTTCAGCACTCTCTGCATGGTGGATTGTCATGCAATCATAAAGGAAAGAATACGAGACTTTCAGGGCACAGTGCATTTCCAACATCCTTAAATCAGGCCATGCAGACTTTTTTTAAAACTCTGTGCTTTAATATGATACCTAAGAAGGAAGGCAGGGACCAATATAATGTGGCCCTTCACCAGTTAAGAGCTCTTGGCTAACTCACGGTTGAGGAGACTTCCAGTGCGTGATATGATCTTATAAACTAACTGCATCCCCCGCACCCCAGATTACAGAGCTGAGGCCTTCTGAGAAACTGAGGAAGTGCGAAGACCTGAGCTTCAAAACTGATTCTTGCAATCGAGTCCAGAAAGATTCCAGGCATGTTGCTCAGAGTAACAGGAATGAGTTTATTGAAAGGACTAGAAAAAGGAAAGGGGACACTCTCAAAGGAAAGAATGTGTCCTCTCGGAGATGAGAGGGACAATGTGCCTCTCCTGAACTCCAGTTTTATTGGGGACCCCATAGAAGTTTCCAGAGAGTCCCACTCAGGTCCAACTCTTGACTTTTGCCTGATAGCAAGATGACATCAGACTTTTAAGTGCCTACTGCCATGACAACTCCAGGTCACCTTGGTCTACGCCGACTGGTTCTAATTGCATTCTTAGCCATACATTCTCAGATTTTATTGTTAGGAGGAACTCTCCTTATCTCCCAGAGTTTCAGGATATGGTCACAAAAGTCTGCCCATCCAGGGTAATTTGGGGTCCTCTTATCAACATTATTTGAGGCCTGCATTTCTCCTGCAGTACACAGGTAGTTTGCTGAGGAATGTGACATATCCTGTCCACTTAGGCCAGGTAGGGATGAAGGTAAATTGCTTCTTGGAAGAGAAATCACATGGGAGTCAGCACAGTGGGCCCATTTTATACATTTATTTTCTTAACCTCATGTTCTCCCCATCCTCATCTGTCTGTTCCCTAACACAGCTCTGTATTTTTCCCTGGCTAAGAGCAGCTAAGAGCAAGACCACTTTCAACTTTTGTTTATCATGCATCATTCACAACTCTAATCCTTGCATGGTTCACCATGGAATTAATTTGCTAATCCTTACGATTTTTATTTGCTTCATGACTTACTGAATACCAAGTGCTATTGTAGGTGCTGGAGACAGCAGCAGCAAAAGATAGATAGTGGAGTGGAAATATTAATAAAGAACATAATAAGAATAATGTATCAGGAAACAATTTCAGAGAGTGATAAGTCTATGAACAAAATAAAATAGAATGGGGTGGGGAAATTCCATGCTCAGGAGGGTTGTGGATCTATTTTTTACTTGAGTGGTTGAAAAGACCTCTTTGAAAAGGTGACATTTAAGCGGAAACTAGAGGATAAGGAGAAGCCAGCATGTAAACATCTGAAGGAAGACTCTTCTGGAAGCTGAACCCTCTTGTGGAAGCACTGTGGATTGTTCTGGGAAGATGCGAAGGCTGGTGCAGCTACTGTATGTGGATGAGAAGGAAAGAGTAGCAGCAATTGAGAGGAGGAGAGAGGAACCACCGCAGACACTTCACGTGGGCCTGGCAGGGAAGAAGGTTGAGATTAGTTTGAGTGCAATGCAAAACCGGTGAAAAGTTTTTAAAAGAAAATCATGATTAATTTATATTTTCTACATTTTCAGGAATCACTTAGGCTGCTGTGTGAAGAATGGATCCGGAGCAGCGGGAGTAGCAGCGGGTGACCCATTTCCAGACCAGTGCTCAACACAGGCTGGAGGCAGAAGAGCATAAAAACTCAAACAGAGAAGGAGAGAATGAATTCAGCCATTTTCAAAGAAAGTACCAATGGAATATTAATATATGTGTATTAAGAAAAAGGAAAAGAGAAAGGGAGGGAGGGAGGGAGGGAGGGAGGGAAAAACTGCAAGATTTAAGTATGTTAGGAAATACAACGTTAAAGTAACTGTGTGTGAGAGAGAGACAGACGGACAGACAGACACAGAGACAGAGACAGAGACAGAGATAAATGTCTACCAAGGTGAGAGTGAGAGTTATTTTGGTTAAAAGGTACTCTTATTCTCCCAAACTTATTTGAACTTGAAATAATTTTCTCCATGAAGTATCTCCAGGCACTTGCATGCTACAAAACAAACTTGCAAAACACTCGTTAACGTATGATTTTTCCAAAAGTTACAAGCACAATTTTCACAGACAGTAGTCTCCTCTTATCTTCAGGAAATAACACTTGAAGCCCCCAGTGGAGGTCTGAAACCATGGATAGTACTGAATCCAATCTATACAATGCTTTTTCCTCTACTGACATGCATAATTTAGTTCCTTTTCCATCTTATCTAAGTACTTATCATGCAACGTGGCCAGAAATTTTTCAATTTGAGATATGAAAGCCAAAACAGCAATGATTTCTTTTTCTTCCCCCCGCACAATTCATGAATAGAAGATTCATTCTACCATAAGTCTTAGCAAACCTAGTGTATGATTTTTCTTCTTTGTTGCCAAGAACTTTCACCTTTTTACTTAAAGGAAGCACTTTACAGTTTCTTCTTGACATATTTAAATTTCCAGCATCACTACTCTTGAGTTATGGCGTCATTATTCAGTAAAATAAGAGTTACTGAAACACAAGGCCTGTGACAGTATGGCAGTCTATCTGATATCTGGGACAGCTACAAAAGACTAATGGGCAGGTAGTGTATACAGTGTGAATACAGTAAAGGGAAGATTCATGTCCAACCAGGATTCAGTGGGACAGTGACAAATTTTATCTTTCTACTAATTTAAAACTTAGGAGTTATTTATTTCTGGAATCTTTCTTTCTTTCTTTTTTCTTTCTTTCTTTCTTTCTTTTTTTTTTTTTTTTGTACTGCAGATTGAACCTAGGGGTATGTCACCCTCTCCCACTGATCTACATCCCCCGTCCTTTTTATTTTATTTTATTATTTTATTTTTTTTATTTTGAGGCATGAATTCACTAAATTACTGAGGCTGGCCTTGAACTTGTAATTCTCCAGCCTCAGCCTCCCAAACTGCTAGGATTTCAAGTGTGCACCACTACACTAGGCTTGGAATTTTTCATTTCCTTTGTTCAAACTGAGGTTGACCTCAGGTAACCAAAACCACAGAAGGTGAAACTATGAATAAAGATTACTCTATTGGACTCATTTGTTATGGGGCCAGCAGATAGCAAAACTTGTTCAAAGCTCATTTGAAGACCTAAATATTCATAGGAATTTGAATACAATTGCTAGGTTACATACTATCCTGATGAATGTCCTTCAGGACAATAATACTTTAGATCTTCTTCTATTCTAGAGCTTAGAAATTATTTACATCTCTACTGACTGCATAGTCTCAGTGTAATGTTCAATGGAATCCTGGTTTGAAAGACAAATTAGGTGACTTTTCTGTTTATTAAGTGAACACGTAAACTTACAAAATATAGACTTCCAAACTAGAGTAAAGAGCAAATCCAACAAAGGTACATTCCTTTAAGTAGGTAAATAATCCTTGACTAGCTCTATTAAACAAAATTCCAATATAAAATTTAAAAACATGCTGGTTTTTCTTAGTTGTATTTATACATTTGGGATAGTTTTCCCTTAACAGATACCCTATAATTATAAATAATTACCAGGGATTATTCATGATCCCTCATGAATACACACATGCATGTACAAATAATTATTGCTTATTATATTCTGGCCATTCAATTTATGTAGATATAGCACTAGATGTCAACTCATTTAAATATATAGAATCATATAGTTTCCAGAAACTACTAATGCCAGAGAAATAAATTCCATGTGGAAATTTGTATAGAGAATCTAGGATTGTACTTTCAAAAACCTCTATGTTGTTTGCTCTTTGCTCAAGAACCTATAAAACCAAGTCCAAGAAAGTTCATCTTCGTGAGTTTTATCTACAGGACCTGTCATATAGTCAAATTCCCCTGTTCCCAAGATCACTGTAATCTATTTATGTTCTTGGTTTGCCAGAAAGGAACCTAGTGAGCTGAGCTTCTCTTTTATTTGAACAATTCTTCCCTTGTAAAACAGTATGGTAATTATTCCTGTAAAATACCTCTTACTATATAGTCAAGCTAGTTAAGAAGTATTGAACATATTAAATAAAACTTAACCTTTTTTACCATTTTGAACAAGTTTTGTGATTATACTTGGAGTCTCTAGAAAATCTCCAACGTTTTAAGTGTAAATGATATATTAATTTTTTTGCTTCCTGAAGTTTAAGATCTAATCTTCAAAAGAAAAATGAAATAGTTCTTATTGCTTGACTAAACTAATACACCAAAAGTTTTTCATCCTACAAATAGTTCAACAAAACAGACAAGGTATATTAAAATGAGTTGGAAATAATAATCTAGAGCTTATATAAATTGTACCAATTAATATTAGCTAATTAATATGAATATATTTTAATTATCTTCTTATTTTTCAATGCTATACAATTGTATATTATAGGTTATATACTATGTTTAAGTTTTTATAATTGTCACATATCTAGAACAATGGACAAAAGAAAAGATCATTTATAAAAAGACTAACTCATAGAACATAGGCTACTTATCAATCTAACTATACATATTTTAAAATATGCCATTATAAGTAACTTTCACTCTGTAAAGTAAAAATTTTTGTGTTTTTAATAATAATAAGATGTAGAATATCTGCTGAGTAAATATCATAAAAAAATAAAGGATAAACTTTTATTACATCTCTAAAGAACAAAAGATACCAAGACACACATCATTTTGAAAGAGTGAAAACCAAATTCTGATGTTCTACAAATGTAATATTTGGTAGTAAAAATGTTAAAGGTTCCTTCTTTATCTTTTGAGCATGTCCCTCAAAACTGCATAACATTTTAATAACAGACTCATTACTTTTCAGATGCATTACTTTCAAATATAAGCAGCTAAGGAAATAAATTTTATTTCCTTTCTATAAGATTTCTACAACACTCTGTATCTATGCAGATTGTGTTTCTTACTGTTTTTGTTCATATTCTAAATTAACTGATACTGGTCAAAACTGCAGCCTCTAACATTTAATAAAAAAATATATCCATTACATTAATCATTGTCAACCCTCTGTCACTACTATTCCTAACATAGCCTTAATTGCTCATATTAATTCTAAATTTTAGCAAGATTGAGTATTTTTAGAGAGAGAACCAAGAGATAGGTAAAGGTAACTGTATGTCTTAAGCATTTTAGCATACTAACAAAGCTCATGAATGGAGATGCATAAAAAATCTCTGTTGGGATAGTTTAATACACAGCCCATATTCACACCTTTTTAAAGTGGCAAAATGAATACATTCATTAATATGATCCAAAGATATGATAACTCTGTTATATACATATGGAGCCGATAAAAACTCTCGCTCTATATTTATGTGCTCATCTTTACATGTATACATACATCTTTGTCAACCAATGTTTTAGCATACTATCTTACTTAGAATTATTCAAGATTAATTAACTTGATTTATTATTAGTGCAAGAACTTATAATTAATTACAGAATTTGAAAAATATGTTTAAGCTGACATACTACAGAATTACTATGTATATAAAAACATTTATTGAAAGTTGAACTCAATTTAGTTGGACACATGATTTTTGTCTTTATTCGTAATTTTAAACATCATGTGGCAGTATTGTTATCTAACCTATTGGTAAAACATTATAACAATGTTAACCAAATGAAAAACCCAAATGTTTTATAAAATAAAATACATACTCATCTTATGCTATATATTGATAAAATCAGGAAAAAGACACATAGGAATTTTTTAAAAATATTAAAACAGTTTAGTGGATCCAAAGATTCATTTTAATTATATAAACTTAGATTATTAATTGAAACATAAAAATGAGAATATAAATGGAGATTGGAGATTGAAGAATATTATGTGTGTGTGTGTGTGAATTTGAAATAATTTTCTCCACGAATTATCTCTTTTATCTCTTATAAAATGGTGTAAAGTTCGCATATATATACATACATATATATATATTCATGAATATCAATCAATCAGAACAGAGCTCCTATATTGAGAAACTTCTTAACTTATTACTATTCTGCAGCAATAGAAAAATATTTTACATGTCTAAGACAATTTGAGCTCCAGTTATCTATTTATTGCTTAACAACCCTTTCCAAAATTTCGTGACTAGAGACAATTATCATTTATTTTGATCACAAATCCACAGTTTGGGCACAATATTTGGTGGGGAAAGATCCATGAAATGTCAGTTGGGGTGACTTAACTGAGGAATGGAGAATCCATTTCCAAAAAGTCTCATTCATGTGGTTGGCAAGTGGGAGTTGTTTGTTAGCTGTGAGCTCAATGTGGGCAGAGAGCCAGGGCCTTGGTTCCTTTCCATGTGGGTTTGTCTACATGAGTGGGTTGGGCTTCCTCATAGCATGGGGTCCCAACCATAGTAACAACTGTATCGCTTTTATGACTCAGCCTCAGAAGCCACAGCATATTATTTACACCTTATTGAAAAGCTGGCCCAAATTCCACAGTACAAAAAAT